TCCTCTGCTGCAATCAGACTCTTAAACTGTTGAAACTCTATTCAAGTCACAAAAAGAGACTGCATCACACTGTAAACATCATATTTGCTCTACATGGCAAGTTGTCTATTCTATTTTTAAACAACTCAACTCAATGTTTCTACGGCATTCTTCTGATTACTGCTGCACTTTATAAATGGAAATGTTCATTTCACTGCTGTAAGCTTCTCATTTACTGTTGACTGTTTTGTATAAACTCTGTATACAAAATGACAAAGTTTGTCTAAATCTACGCTCTGAAGCATAAGCAATAGGATGTCAGCTTTGTCTTCCATCGTACCAAAGTTTTTTACTGTTGTGAGGTATAGCTGCCATTATCAAGGTATTCTCGCACAGGTAGCTACAGAACCGACTGTCACACCACGATCAGTCCCGCACATGCATGGACAGAATAATAAGATCTGGATCGCCGAAAAACTACGTAATAATGGTACTGAAAATAATAATTTATATACTTAAACATTAAAGAATGCTAAACTACATTGTATAGAAAATATTGAAGACTTTTCTGGAAGTCCTCATTGGACATGCTCAGAGCAGTCACAGTAACGTTTGAAAGGCTACATAAGTGTATTGCTTTTTTTCCTTTTAGAACAGGGGTGTCAAACCAGTTCCAGAAAGGGTTGTGTGGCTGCAGGTTTTCTTTCCAACAAAGCAATGGTACACCAGACTCCTGTCATCTCATCAAGTCATCATGTTAAGACTAGACTCACTTGATGAGATCTCCCAGATCTAGACCAGGGCATCACTGAGCTCCTGGACAGTCTGAGGTGCAACCTGGCGGCGTCGGATAGATGGATCATAATGTTCCAGAGGTTTTCTATTGCATTTAGGTCAGGCGAGTGTGGGGGCCAATCAATGGTATCAATTCCTTCATCCTCCAGGAACTGCCTGCATACTCTCGCCACATGAGGCCGGGCATTGTCGTGCACCAGGAGGAACTCAGGACCCACTGCACCAGCACAGGGTCTGACAATGGGTGCAAGGATTCATCCCGATACCTAATGGCAGTCAGGGTGCTGTTGTCTAGCCTGTATAGGTCTGTGCGTCCCTCCATGGATATGCCTCCCCAGACCATCACTGACCCACCACCAAACCGGTCATGCTGAACGATGTTACAGATAGCGTAACGTTCTCCACGGCTTCTCCAGAGCCTTTCACGTCTTTCACATGTGCTCAGGGTGAACCTGCTCTCATCTGTGAAAAGCACAGGGCGCCAGTGGCCGACTTGCCAATTCCGGTGTTCTGTGGCAAATGCCAATCGAGCTCCACGGTGCCGGGCAGTGACAACGGGGCCTACTAGAGGACATCGGGCCCTCAGGCCACCCTTGTGAAGTCTGTTTCTGATTGTTTGGTCAGAGACATTCACACCAATGGCCTGCTGGAGGCCATTTTGTAGGGCTCTGGCAGTGCTCCTCCTGCTCCTCCTTGCACAAAGGAGCAGATACTGGTCCTGCTGATGGGTTGTAGACTTTCTACGGCCCTGTCCAGCTCTCCTGGAGTAACTGTCTCTCCTCCATGCTCTTGAGATTGTGCTGGGAGACACAGTAAACCTTCTAGCAATGGCACGTATTGATGTGCCATCCTGGAGGAGTTGGACTGCCTGTGCAACCTCTGTAGGGTCCAGGTAGCGCCTCATGCTAACAGTAGTGACAGTGACCCTAGCCAAATGCAAAACGGGTGAAAATTAGTCAGAAAAGATGAGGAGGGGGGAAAATGTCAGTGGCCTCCACCTGGAAAACCATTCCTGTTTTGATGGTCGTCTCGTTGTTGCCCCTCTAGTGCACCTGTTGTTAATTTAATTAACACCAAAGCCGCTGAAACTGATTAACAACCCCCTCTGCTACTTACCTGACCAAATCATGACCCAGAAGTTTAATAAACTTGATGCTATAACCTGATTACAGTGTTCCTTTAATTTTTTTGAGTTTTTCTCAAATCCTCATGGACGTTTTTCTTGTTTGCTTTTTATTCCAACTTTTTTTTATTTCTATTTTTTTTATTTTTTTGTACAAATGTTCTTTTTTCATTTCCATTTAAAACATNTTTTTTTGTACAAATGTTCTTTTTTCATTTCCATTTAAAACATTTTTGTGCCTTTAACAATTATTAGAAAGCCTGTTTTTTTTTTGTTTGACCCTGATCATTTCTACCCTCCGTGGTTTTAAAGCTGCTCTATGCTTACTGCAGTGTCCATAAATACTCTCATCAGATTTATTTTATTACTCCCATCTCTGCAGAGAGATCTTTTTTTGGTTGTTTAATATTTCATTTTAGAAGAAACAGGACATTTGATATAGATTTAAGGAACTGTTAACTTACTTTTTTTTTTAAAAGATTTAAAATGATTAAAAACCAATTTTTGGTGTTTTCAGTAAATGTCTGAACAGCATTAATGGTTCTGCCCGTTCTGTGTGTTTGTACTGATGGTGGATAATGGGTAAAGTTACACCGACTGGTGCAGGCCACACATGCTTCATGCATATTGCAGACGCTGCACCTGCTGCTAATTTTAAACTGGGATGACACCACCGTGTTTAGTGGGAGTGTTTGCTGTCTCTGGTCAGAGACGCTCAGGTCCTGTTTCTCTGTTCTGTCTCCACTTTTTATTACTTTTTACAAATTAGAATTATTTAATATAAGGTTTCAAATTTCTGTGTTCTGTTGAAGGGAAAATCGACCTTGAAAAAATCTTGATGACATTAAAGGCAATAAAAGGTTTGTTTCCATAGATCTGAGGGACCCCAACCAAAAGCAGAGGTTGCTAATCAAAGCTCCTAAACTGGGAGCAATGGTTTCCTCTGTCTGAGCTACAAACACTCAAGTCTTCTATTGAAGCCCTAAAATGCAAATACAATCAAATCGTGTTTGTAGGAAACTGGACAGAGAACATTCAGGCCTTTAATGTGTGGCTGTTCGATGCTGATGAGGTGGAGCCGTTTGGAAAAGCAACCGACTCGGTGGCACGACAGACTTCGGGTTATTTTTTCCGGATCCACTGCTGTAGATCAACAAACAAACCTGCGAATCTAGGAATGGAAGAGATGATTTTCAGTCACTGTGACGTGATCTTTGAGATCTACGGAGACTAATATATGTCATTAAATAGATAAATGTCCCATGAAATAAATAAATGTAGCTTTTAGTTATTTTGATATACGATTTAAACATTAAGTGTACAATTGAACAATTAAAATTTCCATTAAATATTTAAAAGAACAGTTTAAATAAAGATTAAAATATTACTATACTTGTTATGTTTAAGCAAAGTAATTCTGTGTTGTTTTTTTTTAGGGCGTTGTCAGTTTGTTGGAGCTTGGTGTTGGGGGTGGGGGAATTGATTCAGCTATATATCGTGATTTTTGGCATCAGTCTTTAAGTTTCTAGCATCAATTTAAAAATGTTTTATTTTTTTTTTACCTAAAACAATGAAGGGAAATGGGCTCCCTCTGTACTGCCACTCTGGCAGATGGCTGTGCCATATTTGTAGTTTAAAGGCTGATTTATACTCCAAAACTAGGTCGTCTGCGTAGGTGAGTGAACAAAAAGACGTCCCCGCCCCCTCCGCAGACACTCTGCTGCACCTCTCCCAAATTGTAGCTGACCACAGACAGGAGGCCGGCTTGTTTTGTTTTTCTGACTGAAATTGCGGAAAACAACTTTTGAAGTTGGACCAGCTAGAAGAGCGAGGCGTGAGAGAACGCTGGGACCCTTTTTTCCACCTGGATTCCCACTCTTTTTGGCCCTCATGTCCCTCTGTTGTCAGACAAACTTGCCCCCACTTCCTCACCGCCTCGGCCGTATCTAGACCCACAGCGTGTAGCACAGACCACGCTTCAATACTGAGCATAAATCAAAAATGTCTGCGTCAAGCTCACTGCGACACACTGCTGCGGGAGGATAACCAGCCCATAAGCCGTCACAGTGGAAGATGTAGACTGACTACCACCCCAAACAACATGGATTCCAAAATAACTGAATGATCTTCTGCTGGACATGTACAGCACTTGCTTTTTTTATCCATTCATTTAATTTTGACAGCTGGGAAAAATGTTGCAGTTTATTATGATATTGCAATATCCTGATAAGGGCTGCAACTACCAATTATTTTGCAAATAGATTAATCTGTTGATTATTTCGATTAATTCATTATTAAACAGCCAAAGTTTCCTAAAGAAGATTTTTTTATTTAAATTGAATCAGGTAAAATTAAAAGTTTTCCTCTGTGGATTTTCTGGATGGAACATTTTGACGGAGGAAAATGTATTTACATCTTAAAGTTGTAGGGGAGTCATATTTAAATTTCAAATCATTCTGGCTTAAACATGTATATAAATGTACTCTTTACCAAACCATATTGTCCCAAAAGTTAGAAAACTTCTGTTTAAAAAAAAAAAAATCCTTTCTTAAAACTATGTTGTTTTTTTTCTGGTTATCTTATGCAGGCCAGTTAGTTATAAGTCAGCCTGAACACCTAAATTCAGCCATATTTTTTTACTCTTGACTCCACCCTTTCACTGAATAACAGGGTCTGACCAGGAGATGGCGCTTCTCTTTAGATCTTAATCTCCACAAATCATGACTGAAAGAATATTTTAGATGTTTAGAAAGTAAATGTAGGGGACCAGCCAAGGGCCCATCAAGGAAAGTGGGGAAATTGTGAATGGCTTCTACTGTAGGATTACTTTTCTTCCACTAAGCTGTTAAACATGGCGGAGCACTGATGGCTGCTTCCTGGCTGATTACTGGTCCTTAAAAAGCCTTGAAATGCAGATACCAATTTTCTTTTTCTTATCTTTATTATAACTGCACTAAAAGTTATATGCAACTTTGTGACTTAAAGTTGGGTCTTAAATCGGTATTAAGTTTGTTGAGGTTTGTTTCTTCACGTGAAGCTGCTGCGCTCAGTTTGCTTCTGTCCTTTTTCTATCTATTATAAATATCTGCTCCTCTCATCACAGGACGCAACGAGCCGTTGAAAAAAGACCGCCCCAAGTGGAAGAGCGACTACCCGATGACGGAGGGCCAGCTGCGCAGCAAGCGAGACGAGTTCTGGGACACGGCGCCGGCCTTCGAGGGCCGGAAGGAGATCTGGGACGCCCTGAAAGCGGCCGCCGTGGCCCTGGAGTGCAATGACCACGAGCTGGCCCAGGCTATAGTGGACGGGGCTAGCATCACACTGCCGCACGGTGAGGAGGCGCCGCGGCGCAGCATTTCCAGCAGAATGTTTGACTAGTATTCATATTCGATCCCTGGTCCTCTTTCAGGGACTCTGACTGAATGTTATGATGAGCTGGGGAACCGCTACCAGCTTCCCGTCTACTGCCTAGCGCCCCCCGTCAACCTCATCTCAGAGTGCAGCGATGAGGACCCCAGTGACAGCCCTCAGCCCCCAGCAGCTTCCAAAAAGGAGTTCCAGCTCAAGGTAAACAGCCGCAGTCAGAGTATGAGCCGTTTAACACTCAGGCGTTTCTCAATAGATGTTCTGGAGCGTTCTCGTGATACGTCATCAGCCTCAGCCTGAGCACTGTTCCAATTGCTGAGAACGACAGACTGAGAACGCACCAAATCCCCGGATGTTGTTCTCACCCCACCCTCTTTACCCAGCATGCATTAGAGCAGACTTGTCTGTTCTAGAGATTGACAGCTGTCCCGGCATGCACTGCGGCAGTAGAAGCTTTCAATGGAGTGCTCCATTGAAAGTGCTCTTTCTGTTGCTGTTGTTCAATAAAAGTACCTTTTAAGATAATTTAAGGCGAGAATATTATACTTTAAAACGTCACTATATGGTCCATTTACTGATTTAATGTGTAAATAAAAAAAAAAAGATTTCCAAAGTTGAGAAGACCGCAGAAACCAGCGGAGTTTCAAAGCTAACAACCATGGCTAACGTTAGCCCGTCTGCAGCAGCCCTCTCTCGGCATAGCTGTGTGTGAAGGACCGCTGCCTCTGATGGAGAGTTTTATTTTTTTTGGCAAAATGTTCTTTTGATTTGTGTTTATCTGACCATGTTAATTATTATTCCCCCACTAAATGAAAATAAGTCAGAATTTATAATTATCTAGAAACTATTAATAACAGGAGGTGAAATGCAGCTCTAGAAGAGCGGAGCGTGTGGTGACGTCACGAGTATGCATCTGTTCCAATTGATCCAGATTTATGCTGCGTGCTCCCTTTCTCACCAAGTCCAGACTTTCCAGACTTGGCGAGGACACGCGTCCATACTTGCATTCTAGTGAATTGAGAAATGGTTTCAGACTCCCAGAATTCTGATCCTAGAAGTCCCACTGGCTGTCAGTTTGAAGGATGAAGGTTTTACTGAGCAAAACCAACGTTTATAGCTGCTGTGTCTAGGAGATCGTAAAATGCAGCCACAGGCCACCTTTGTGTTGAAGCTTTTACAGAATACTTCCTAATCATCTGATCCGACACATCCACGCCGACCTGTGTGATTATAGTAGGCCACAGGCTCTGGTTTGGCTTTTAGGCCCCTGAGAACCAGCTGTGGTGTGAGCAGTACTATCCAAACCTTGAACTAAAGTTTCCCTATTGTCTGATGGGTCACTGGTACATCTGCATTTTCCCGGGGGTGTGCGATCATCCTCTGACTCGCTGTTAGAATCTGAGCTGCTTCCTACCCAGTCCTCCTCATCAGTCTCTCCCTCTCCGCCTGAATTGCTATCATCAATATTTTGAAGCATTTCTTAAGCCTGTTTGGCTGTTAGATTTTTTTTGTTCTGAAAGCCATTTTTCCCTATTAGCCAAAGAGTTCTAGGTAGAATGTTGGTTGCTAGGCAACGGTACTGAACATCAATCAACAGCGGGAGGAATTTACAATGTGACTAATAGGGCCGTCAAAATGAAGGTTGTAGGAGATTGTGGTAAATTATTATAATTAGTCAAATTATTTATTTTTACATTTTTATTTTATTTAAAAAACTACTTGAAAATGAAGGAAATATAGCAACAGGAAAAGTCAGTTAACATGAGCAACATATGATAATTAAAAGTTCTAATAAATAAAAGTTCTCCCCTTTTAAAATCTCAGAACCGTCAAAATGACAGCCTTTGCAGTTCTAATGTTAAGGCCTAAAGATCTGGTTCCTGTTGCTCCTTTAGGTACGGCTCTCCACGGGGAAGGATGTGCGGCTCAGCGCCAGCATGGCCGACACCATCGGGCAGCTGAAGAAGCAGCTCCAGACCCAGGAGGACATCGACGTGCTCCACCAGCGCTGGTTCTTCTCCGGAAAGCTGCTGACGGACAAGACGCGGCTGCAGGACACCAAGATCCAGAAGGACTTCATCATTCAGGTCATCGTGAACGCGCAGGCGCTAGGAGGGCCCAAACCGGCACCCACTGCCCCCGCAACGGCGTCCGAGTGACGCCGTCCTCCTGCAGAGAAACTGAATTTTAGACTCGAAACGAAAAAGAAAAGAGGGAATAAATGAAAAGTGCTGCTTAATTTCATTTAACGTAGAAACTGGGTTTTTATTCACTCTGGAGGAAGAAAGTCTGAGATGGTCGCCATGTTTTTAGCTCCTCATGCTGGTTTTTCCTGCTTCACTGAGAGGATGAAAGGCCCAGATCGGTGGGGTTTATGTTGGACGTGAAGCGAGTCTTGTCTCCGACACTTTGATGGAGCAGATGATGCAAGTTTTTTTTTTATTTTTTATTCTTTTACTTAGGAAATACTAACTGAGCTGTTTTGCACAATGAAGGGTTCTTCCTCTTCTTCTGCAGTTGATTGTGTGCCTTCTACCAGATAAAGAGATTCGCCTTCATCGGCTCAAACCCTGTGTATTTTTCTAGATTCAAATCCACCATCGGTCACTGCTGCCTTTTATTACGCTGTCTTTTTATATCCATTTCACCTTCTTGAGGGTTTCTTGGAGCTGCCTTACTGCTTAATGACCACTAGGGGGAGCCACACTGCCCTTTTTCACGCAGTCGTTTTCCCGTCCCTCCGGCTGATGATTGTAGTTAGTCAGCCCGTTAATCACCAGCAAACCGAGGAGCGGCTGTGGAGCTGTGATCCCACATCCAGATTCTGGGTTTTATTTGAATGGATGCTGCAGAACCTGCCCCCGCCCCTAGAGGGAGCAGCTTCTTTAAGTGTTTTATCATTGAAATGATGAGTTTAGAATCATTTTCATGATCTGATCAGACACTCAGCAAGGTCTATTACTACCAACACTGATTTGCTAATAATGACCTGTTTTTTTTAAAAGGATTTACTCAGAATATCAAAGAAAATCATGCTGTCGGTTAAAGGAAAACAAACCATCCCTGACTCATTTCTTTGAAGTTTAGCTTCCTCAGCTTTGCCACTGATGCAGTGGATGCAGACGGTCGTACCTGTAAACAGTCAGTTTGGCTCTCAACCCCTGTTTGCCTTTTAATGCCAGATGGGAATGCTAGAGGCTTGAACCAAGTTTTCTACAGCTTTTAGAAACCCTTTAATTTGATCTGAAACGGTTTCCCACCGAACGTTAAAACATGAATTGATCTTTTTATTTTTCCTGTAAAATGTTAGTGTTGGAACCTTCCTGTTCTCACTATACATCCTTTCAGGTCAGATTGTTTTCAGCCAGATGCTCCTAAAAGCATCTGAGCATCTAAAAACCCCCTGTAAGTAGTCAGACTGTGTTTGTTTAGTTTTTTCCTTCAGTCGACCTTTTATTCACACGTTGTGGGATTTCTTTATTTGCAGGAAAAGATGCGACTCTTTAGCGTTTGGTTTCCAGTCCGTGGCAGACCAGTTCTCTGAGGAACCTTTAATCCGATGTTAACCAGTTAAATCCAGCTCCATGGAGCGCCCCGCCCCCACTTGTTGCTGGCAGAGCCATGTTTATCACTGTGAAGTAATCACCATACCGACCCATTCACAGAATCGTAACCAGAGGGAAATCTTCAGGGAAGAAATAACTCAAAGAAGGGCTTGATGTTTTTTGTTTTCTTCCACTCTCCGCTCCCGTCGCTCAGGCTTCCCGCTGTAACGCCACAGTGGCGCTAAAGCTGCTCCACTCGGTATTTAGGATGCTGCAGACTTGAACAGCCCCCCCCTAACAGGTGCAATATGACAGGCCTTGTATTGTTTTTGTTTCTGCTGAGGAGCAGCTGAGTTGTGTGAAAGTAGAGCCCAGACTGTGATCATCATCATCATGCGTGCGTCAGATAATCAGCGGCGTCAGATAAACCTTGGCTTAGCAGCGAGGCCTGCTCGCCTCAGCTGTGAAGCCCGACATCTCTCAGGTTCAGGAGGAGGGACATTTATCTTTGCTGTTTTGAGCCCTGAGCAGATGTTCTTCTTCTTTATCTGCATACTTTCCTTTAGTCTTTCATAAATGAAGCTTAAAGAGATTTAGAGAAACACAATTGAACAGATTTGAATACAGAGTTGAAGATTTATCCATTGCATTTTGGGGGATTTTTACCTAAAGCAAGCCGACTGATTTTTGACTCTTGATGGTTAAGAAACCAAATAAAACAAGCAGATTAGAGTGATCGCATTAAATCTCTTAGGAAAGAAAATGTGACAATTAAAGCTGTAAACCTTTATTCTAAATACGAACGGATAAATGATCAATAAAGCCCCTAATTTCCTGTTTAAACAGGAAGTATAAACGCTCCACGGCTGCCTTAATGTAGAGGAACCTTATCTGCTCATCGCCATCAGGAAAAAAAACGTACAAAATAAATGATAGAGGGAATACATTTAGAGGGTCTTCAAATGAAAACTTCAGGTGAACAAAAAATGTTTCATTTTTTCTATTGATGTAAAATGTTTGATTTTTAAGGTTTTTACCTCATTTAGAAACCGGATCTTTATCATCTGTAACGTCTGGAAGAACATTTCCTCCACATCTAGGAAAGAAAACAAATTTATCATTTTTTTTTTTAAGATAATTTCTCAAAGTAATAAGATGACTAAGTCATTATTATAAGATACTTTGTCAAAATAATGACAGTATCATGAGTTATTTTCTATTAAAAGAATATCTATAAAAATATAGTATGTAATAATTATGGGATATGAGTTTGTTTTTCTTTCAGCAGGGCGGTGAAAATGGGTTTCCATGGTAACGTAAATCCATGTCTGCATGCTGGACGCGTTTCTTCGTTCCCCTTTAGCTCCAGGATGCGTGGAGCGGAACAGGTTTGCATCGTTTCTGTCGTGCGAGACGCTTGTGAACCATAATAACCCAACAAATGTGTGTTTCTACTTTTTTAAAGCTGTGAATTTCTCCCTTGATTCGTTTCCCCTCTACTTGGTTGCACATTTGTTTTCTTTGGTGGTTTTAGAGTCTGTCTGCGTCAGGAAAGCTTCACCTTCAGTCTGGAGCGACAGACGTGGAATAAAAACCATTTTAACCCGAAGCTTTTTCCCATTTTCTTTCCAATCATACAATCAGACCCCAAATATAAACGAGATATAGAAATATGAATAAAAGCCATAAGAGGAGATTGAGACTTTTTCTTATTTTGTGAATCCGATACCACTCCTTGTATTATTATGATTGTTATGCTTTCCTCTGAGATCTTTAAAGGCCTTTATATGTTTAGGTTAGACTTTCTAATTGTTTCCGCACCAGAACAGCCATATATATAAAGCACTAAAATATCTTTGTTTAAAAGAATGGGTTTATTTAGTTGATAGAAATGTTATGGACCTGATGATATTTTCAAGTTATTTTAATGTTCATTTAAATGCTGATTTCATGGAAAATCCTGTTTCTAAACCGTTAAATAAAGTCTAAACTTGTGAAATAAACTCAGCAGTTATGTGGATTTTTGTTTTCTTCCTGCAGCCGACCTATAAGTCGACCTCATTTTATTTCAGTTTAAAAAGGGAAACTTGTACAATGTGAACATAAATTACGCTGACATGTTTCAAAGGTGTTTTATACCCGAACTCTGTTCTTACAGATCATTAAACTGCTAAATTCAGTCTAATTTATACATATTAACCTCAGATTAAACCTTTTTAATTCATGAATATATTTCCAGTTTAACCGGAGGTGCAAAGTAACAAAGTACAAATACTTTATCTTAAGTAGAAATGTTGTCGATCTATACTGGAATAATTATTTTATAGACAAATTTTTACTTTCTACTCCTTATGTTTTAAAAATGGACTCAGTTTTGTTTTATTTAAGCTCCATTTTCATTATGGCCTTTTGGTGTTTAAAGAAAATAAAAACAATCAAAATAATTTGTTTCATCCAATTTCTTTGTGGTTGGACTCGGTGCTGCCCCAACTTGTTGCTCACCACATACCAAAATAAATCGTTCTTCAAGATGATGCAAAATTAAATGTGACACTGTTACCATTAGATATAAAACTAAGAAAATTAAGTCTAAGGAAGTTATCATCAGGAATTGTAGAAAAATGTTTCTTTAAAAAGGGTAGAGCTACGGAAGAGGATTAAGGCCACTGGGAGAAAAAAAAATGTTAACTGATTTTTAAATTTTATTTCAGTTTAACATAGGAAAAAAGTCAGAAATCTGACTTTTTTCTCAGAATTCTGACTTTTTTTCTCAGAATTCTGACAGCTAACATGTTAGCATCAAGCCATAGCCATGTCTGTTTTAGAGACTAGCTCTCTTGTTTTAATGATCTCCTGCTCCTCCATTAATGAGGGGACACCTCGGGCACGTAAAAAGTTGCCTAGATCCGTCATTTTCCACCAATGTGTTACTGGCTCTCTCAAACAACTCACATCTTTGTCAGTGAAGCTGAATGCTCCACATCTCTTCCTTCATGGTGCCCATCTACATTAAGATCCACAATTTGGAGAAAAAAGTCAGAATTCTGAGATTAAAGTCAGAATTCTGAATTATTTTCCCATATTAAACTGAAATAACATTTAAAAATCAGTTAATTTTTTTTTTTTTCAGTGGCCCTAATCCTCTTCCGTATAGAGCAGTAAAGCTTCTGGCCTTAACAGTTTTTCCTCCATTACTTTTATACTCTAAGTGGTTTTAAAAATGGTACTTTTACACTTTTACTGGAGTAAAAAGCTTAAAGGAATAGTACACCCAAAACATGATTAGCCTTCATTTTCTACTCACCCCCATGCTGAACAACACTCTGGAGTACTTTTTT